TATTTTTGAATTTTCTTTATTAGCATAAGTTTACAGTATATAATAATTATGTTTGCTTTGGAGAAATGGAACATATACATATTGCATCTTGATCATTTTAATCCCCTACCAGCCATCCCATTTGCTCCCTTCCTCAGATCTCCTTTTCCATCTCCAAAAAGTCTACCTTTGTTTCCTATCATTTCTCCTTTATTGTGCTATTTTGAGTATCTCATATAAGAGAAAACATGTTATATTTGACTTTCCACATCTGCTTTATTTCACATAGAGTTATGATCTCAAGATTCCATCATTTTCCTACAAATGACTCAAATTTATCCTTCTTTATGGCTGAGTAGTACTTGATTCATTTTCCTTATCTATTCAACCATTAGTGGGCATATAAGCCACTTCTGTAATTTAGCTATTGTGAATTATGCTGCTATAAACATGGGTATGCATGTATCACTAAAATATGATGCCATCAACTCTTTTGGGAAGATATCCAGAGGAGAAATAGCTGGGTCAAATGGAATTTTTATTTTTATTTTTCTGAGAATTCTGATTGTACTAGTTTACATTCTTACTAACAATGTAGAAGGGTTTCTTTTTCCTCCTTGGCATTTGTGGTATTTTTGAGTTCTTGAATACAGCAATTTTTCCTGGGGTAAGGTGGAATCTCAGTGCTTTTTATTTCTCTAATGGCCAAAGCTTCTGAACATTTTTTATGTACTTATCACCCGTGTATACTTCTTCCTTTGAGAAGTACCTGTTCATCTCATTTGCCCATATTTTATGATTGGGTCTTTTGGGGGTAGTTTTTTGAGTTCATTATATACTCTAGATGTCAGTCCTCTGTCTGAGGAGCAGCTGACAGAACTTTTTTTCCCATTCTATAAATTGTATTTCCCTCTGTTGATTGTTTCCTTTGCTGTACAGAAGCTCTCAAATTTGATATAATCCCATTTGTTGATTCATGGTATTATTTTTTTGTGTCATTGGGGTTTTATTCAGAAAGTTCTTGCCTATGCCTAACATAGATAAAATTTTTATTTTCTGAGATTCCTCACTAGTTTTGTTAAAACAATTCTGACAACATAAACAGCTGTATTTTAGTGTACGCATGATTTTTATTTTCATGTATATGAGCCATAGATATAAAATATAAGTTATTTGATTACGTACTACAGTTCTATCCACTGCTTTCTGTATTATAAATACAATACCAGAATGAAACTCTGAAAAGAACTTTCCATTTTCTAAGAATCTAAATAGATTTTTTTACATGTATATAACTGTGCAGATTCAAATTCATTTGGACATTGTCATAGAACCATATGTGTTGCCAGAGATGTGAAAACTTGAGGTCTGTTCTCCACTTTTCAAGAAGTAAAATATAAGAGGAATGATTATATTTCCCCTACCTTACTTTACTCATAAATCTAATAGATTATCCCATTGTTTCAAAGTTCACATTATGTGGATATTCTTTTATAATCATACTACTTTTCTGATATTTTAGTTTAAGAATATTTTTCCTGTTAAATAAAATTAACTTTTATCATTTTTATTATAAATGTAAACCTGCATATTGTAAAAAATTTGAGTTACAGAAAAATGTGAGGAAAAAAGAATCAACTAGGATCATATGAACACAGTCTGTTAGTTCATGTTCTTCCAGTCATTGATGTGCATTCTAACATGTATAATTATATTTTCATAACAAATTAATTATACATGAAATTATATATTGAATTTAATTAATACTTGCTATATATAAAAATCTATATACCATACATTTTATCTATATTTTTATAATCTTCCTAACACCCCACTATTGTTACAAATGAAGATATCACAAAAGAAGATGAGCCCCAAAAGGATTAAGTTAAGGATTAGTTGCTGAATTTTTCCTGGTATTAAATGATGAAGTAGAGATTCAAAATAAATAAATATAAATACAGAGTTGAAACTTTTTTTAAACTGACACCTACATATACAGTGTATATGTGTGTATGTGTTTGTGTATGTGAGTATATGAATGTTTGTCTGTATTACGTTTAATAAATACCTTCTGATTCAATGTTATGGAACTTTGCTTAGTTGTAAGCAATCCTTAAGTACCCTTAGATGGAATTGTGTCTTAGTCTGTTTGGGCTGCTATAAAATACTATAGACTGGGAAGATTATAAACAACAGAATGTTATTTCCCGCATTTCTTAATAGTGAGAAGGTTAAGATCAAGCCCAGCCAGATTTTGTGTCTTGTAAATACCTATTTTCTGGTTTTTAGAGCCCTCTTGGTGTGTTCTTGCATAGTAGAAAAGTTGAGACAGTTTACTGGATCCTCTTTTTATAAAGACGCTAATCCTATTCGTGAAAACTCTGCTCTTAGGTACTAGTTACCCAAAAGCCTCATCTGCTAATATCATCATGCTGATGATTATTTTTTCCTTTTCCAACTTTATTGAAGTAAATTTGCAAATAAACATCATACACATTGGACAGTATATTTTAATATTCATTGTGAAACGATTACTACAATAAAGCTAATGGGCATATCCGTCACTTCGCATAGTTACTGTGTGTGTGTGACAGTGTAGAATACATCTACTTTCTTTGCAAATGTCAAATATAAAATACATTATTGTTAACTGTAGTCAGCATACTGAACAGTAGATCTTCCAGCGTATTCAACTTTCACCTGAAGGTTTGTGTACTTTGACTAACAACTCCCTATTTCCCAACTATCTGACTCAAAGTGGCTCCTTTTTGGTTGGAGTCAGGGTACAAAAATGTCTCCTTTTTTCAGGAGCGCATGACATGGATGAGTAATGGTCAACTTAGTGACAAAATGTACCAGTGTATTCTGTGGAGCAGGCCCCTAGGGACTTCAGTGGTACCCAATGTGTAGCGAATACTGATTACCCTTGCCTTCTTTGTTCCTACCTATCTCAGGACATTTTCGATATACTTATCTCTCCAGCAGTTATTCTGTGAAGTTATTCTAAGGTTTTGGCTCTATCTGCAGATTCTTAACTGGACCCTTGAGCCTTCTCTGGGCTATCCCATTTTCTTGATCACTGTGTATTTATTGATTATTGTGGAGAGAATGGAAGTTGGTATTTCATACTTTGCTGATTACATTCCTCTAGTGATTAGATTTTTAACACATTAATTTTGAGGGGACACAAACATTCACACTTATTTTTTTTTTTTTTGGTTACCAGGTATCGAACTCAGGATCTTGTGCTTGCGAGGCAGGCGTGGTGCCACTGAGTTAAATCTCTGGCCCTTATTTTTATTAGTACATGTGTGTAGGGAATAATGATTACATTTATCTTGGGGAGTTGGTACATGTACATAACACCTCTTAATTCTTTTTTTCATTCTCCACCCCTCTATTGCTTCCTG